TAGCAACATGATATTAATTACATCTTGAGCTGTTATCATTATATTGAGAAGCTTCTGGAATGCTGCCAACATTATTTTAGATTCTCATGCTTTCTTCATGGATTTAAGTAGTGCTTTCTGTTGTTTCTAATGTAAAAGTTATCAAACCCTCTTAGAATATAGGCTGCAACTTGATGTTGAGGTGATCTCCTGGACCATCTGTTTTCTTGCTTGTACTTGTATAACATTCATGTTGTGTTTACAGTAGTTGCTAGTATTGAACAGTGATACTGGCTGAGAGTTTAATAAATTTTGGATTTGCAGCAGCAGAGGACAGCAGCTGAAAAAGATCAGTCAGCTCTCTGTAGACCACTTGAAACAGCTGATCTAATACCAGTGAAAACATTTTGAAACTAATAAGGTGCCAGCCATCTCTGGAGAAATAGAATGAGCCTGTTATTAAAATACTTCTTTTCCGCTAATTTTTTTCTTGCTTTTTTTTTTTTTTTTTTTTTTTTTTTTTTTTTTTTAACTACCTTTAGGTCCTCTAACCCAACCTGAACGTGTGCAACAAACAGATTTAGCTAGCACACTGGCAGTAGGCCTTGGTCTACCAATTTCAAGAAACAGTGTTGGGAACCTTATATTGCCAGTTGTTGGAGGCAAGACAATGAGAGAACAGCTACGTTTTGTGCACTTGAATGGGTTCCAGCTTAGCAGATTGCTGCAAGAGAATACACCTGCATATGAAAAAGGTAAATTAGCCAAAAAAAAAAAGCTACATATATACTAAAATGAGATTGGTTATAAATGTTTGTACTTTTAGATTTAAGAATCTAACATGGTACTGCAAATTAGCTATTCAGCTGAGAGAACTATTTGGAGAAATGCTACTGAGTTCAGTCTTTACTGTAACCTACTTTGATACACTGCCTCTGAATCAAGTTTTTTTAATGACCAGTAATACTTCTAGTAGGCAAAAGAGCAGAAATAATGATGGAGTAAAAGTAATTAAAGTAAAACTGCCAGTGTAGTTACATCTCAGTAGTTTCATATCTGCTCTTTGTGAGGTGTCTTACATAGGGCACTGATTCTGAGCTGTGTGGAGAATTAGCACAATGGAATAAATTTTCTGGTTTAAGTAAATAGATGCTTCAGGTAAAGCTGAGAAATAAATTGGGTAAGTTATCTTTTTATTTCATTTTTATGTATGAATTTACTTGGAGTGAGAACCTAGAGAAGTGCAGAGTTGCTTATTAAAAATACATGTGTGTGCATACTTGGAGGAAAGAATAAAAAATACATGGAAAAATGAACCAAACTTAGAAAAATGTAGTATTTCATTAGAAGCATGATATAAACTGCAATATAAGTAAGGAAGTTAATATGATAATTAGGTGAAAAAAATTGAGTCAGAGGATGAAGGAGAATATTTTACCACTGACACTAGAAGATGTCTTAAAGTGACTGTGAAGCTTGTCACTTGGTTTATAATCTGTTGAATCATGAAAATTACTAGATGAGAATGCAGAGCTGTGTTACATCTATGAATAATTAAAGTGGATAGCAATGTAAATTTTGGCAAGATGATCATTGTAGGTCAAGAATTAATTATCTTTCAACATCACAGATTCTAATCATAATTAAACCCTGTCCAGGAACCGCAGCAAAACAAATGCTGCTTTTGATAGCAACATGTCAGTTGTAGGACCCATACTCCATCTATTATGAATTTTTTTTTTTTGCACAGATTTCTTCACTTAACCTATTTATGTCAAGTGAGGAAACTTGCCCTGTTGGTGAGGTTCAGGATATGCCTGTGCTGCTGAAAATTCCATCATAAAACTCCATCTAACAGTATTTCTGCAAGCACTGGTGAAACAGATTGAAGCTTCTACCAGCTTCTGGCTTATATATTCACTTTTTTTTTGTCTGGGAACAGTTTAATTTCAATTCGTAGCTTTCATCTGAGAAATGGAATCAAAATTGCTGAGGATGAACATGTGAGAAATTTTTATGCTACTCGTTTGTGACTGCAAACTGCTATTAGAGTTTATGCCTTACTGAAAAGGAGTTGGAGGGACAAAGCATCCACAATGAGTTTCTCTCCTTTCAGTAACAGAGTCTCTGTATCATGGTCCTAGTCTAGGTCCCAGTCATGGTAGCTTTTTCTGCAGTGTCTTAATGTGAATTCTCCCTATTGCTGTGTATCTTCTAGAGGGGTCTCATTTTCCTTAGTGTCCTAGATGTACAAGGCTGTAGCTTACCACTTTGGTCAGGCCAATTAAGACTGGAAGGGAAAAGATACATGCTGTTTGTTTATTGTTGATTGATGTGGATGCTTCAAGCCCTAGCAGTACTAAAGAAAGTGTCACTAACTCAGTGACTAATGTGTGTAATTTAAAAGCATGCATGAATAGCCATTTGTTTTGCATGGCTTTTAAGTGAAGATAAATGCCATTCCACGTATTCGGCTAAAAGCACTTACACCTGTGTGCATATCTGTTGTGATTCCCCTATAAAGAGATTACCTTGTGGGCAAGTAATGATATTCAGTAATCTGATTCATGTTCAGGAAGATTGCCCCGTTTTTAAAAAAGGTAAAAAGGATGTCCCTGAGAACTACTTAGCAGTCAGTCTCTTCTCTTCCTGGTAAGATCATGAAATGGATCCCCTTGGAAGAGGTGTCAATACCCATGGAAGACAGGAAGGTTATTAGAGATGGCCAACACTGCTTTGCCAAGGGCAGACTGTGCCTGACTGATTTAGTGGCCTTCTACAATGAAGTAAATGCATCAGTGGATGAGAGAAAAGCCATGGGTGTCATCTTCCTAGACTTCTGTCAGGCCTCCCCCAACATCCCTGCTGCTGTATTAGTGATATGGATCCAACAAGTGGACTGTTAAATGAATAAGAAGTTGACTGTATGGCCCTATGTGTAAAGTCAGTGTCTCAGTGTCCAAAAGGAAACCAGTAATGAGTGGTGATCTAGTGAAAGATGTCTCCATTCACAGTGGTGGGGGTGAACAAGGTGCTGTTTAAAGACAACCTGAACCTTTCTATGATTATAACATGGGAAAGTGAAGAGTGACAGTTGCCCTTTTTGGGATAGAACAATGATGGGCATGCATCTCTGCCTGGGAGTGGATGATGAAGCAGCTGAGAACTTTGGGGTCAGGATTAGTGAACAGACATAGGCAGTATTGTTATGGGTGTTGCCTACAGAGTCTGATTGAGAAGAATTAGGATGTTTTCAAACAGCTAGAGAAAGCCCCATGCTCACCATCCATGCTGCTCATATGGTGCTTCAGCCATCCTGTTGCAGTTCAGGCTAGATAACTGGGCAATGAGGTGGGCTGAAAAGTGGCTCAGTTACTGGGATGCAGTGGCCGTGATCAGCGGCATAAAGGCAGGTCCCTAGTGATCAACCGCAGGGTCTGACACAGGCCAGTAGTATTTAACATCTTCATTAATGACCTGGATGATGGGGCAGGGCACCTGCTCAGCCAGGGGAGGGCACAATACAAAACTTGGATGAGCATTTGAGGCAGTAGGTGGGTCTGCTGCCGTTCAGAGGGACCTTGACAGGCTGGAGAAATGGGCTGACAAGAACCTCTTAAGGTTCAGCAAAGGGAAATGCCAAATCTTACAGAGGGGAAGAAGTAATCCCATGCAACAATGCAGATGGGGTATTGACTGACTGAAAAGCAGCTTGGTGAAGAAGAACAAGGGATCTTTGGGGACACCAAGCTGAATATCAGCCAGCAATGCTCAGTGTAAAGTAGGCAGTCTGTGTCTAGCAGTGCTTCCATCATGTCCTGAACTTCTGAACATGCACTTGAATGATAAGCTAGGACTTTGAAATACATTTTACAGTGAAGTGAAGAGTCACGCTTGCGAGAGGATTGGATGTTGTTACTAAAATGTGTGCCAGCCTTTCAATTTGGGACTGATCCTGAACTTTTATTAGATGCATGTGTTGATTGAAATAATTTGACGCGTACTGGGACATTTGTATATTGAAACTGGAGAAGCCACTTTTACATTATTCATTCTTTTCTTTCATTTATAGTTCTTCTTAAATGATTGCTGCCTGTGGCTGTAACTAAGTGAAAGTGTTGTCAAACAGGTGCTTGCGAAGCATAGCCATCTGCTTGTGATAAGATGGTAGGGAGGCTGAAGCAGAAATTGCTAATGTATTACCATGCAAATAAACCACTGTCAGAGCTTTGGGAAATGTGTAACTGGACAAGCTTGCTTTGGATTTTGCCTTGAGTTTAACTTGTCTTATGAGTATTCCATGCAGGAGTGACTTGCCAATATAACCTGCCAGTTAGCAAAAGGCTTTTCCAACAACCTAGTGCCTGTGACCCTTATTTTATACTTCCTGCATACAAATGTGCCCTTGTACAGATACTGTTGGAGTTCTCAAAAAAAATTTGGTAACTGTGGTCCTTTATTCCTATCTGCAAGATCTTTAAATCATTCACTTGTATGTGGGTTTGAGTAAAACAGTCATCTTTCGTGACATGGACAGAATAAGTTTGGTGGGCAGTAGAATGGAAAGAGGTAGATGAGAATGAAATGAAAATGCTAAAAGGAATGAAGAGGGAGTCTGGGCAAGATGCATGAAAAGAACAGAAGCAGAAGATGTGCAAAGAATTTATTTGTATTTCTAAATGTAGCTTGGACTCATTTCAGTGTTCTGTATAATGAATTAGTGTCATGTCAAATCTCAGTTTGATTTAAGCTCATTTTAGATGATCCTTTATGGATTTCCTCAAAAGTATGAATATTTAACTCCTATTTCAAATATACTGGAAAAGAAACTTCGTAGGGAATTCACTGTTCAGAGAACTATAGGAAGGAAATTAAATCCTCCGTGCACACTGGTAGCTATCTTGATATACAGGTGTTTACTGTTGGCTGAATTGTACTTTCTGGCAGATACCTGCAAGCCTCCTGCATAGCAGGATGAGTGCACTTTGGAGTCTGCTAGAAGTTTTGTGAGTTAAATACTGCCTTCTAAAATTCTTACTTTGAATTCAGTGCACAGTAGATCACAAAGTGTCTTGTATGGTAAGAGTCTTAAAAATGGTAAGCACAGTTCTTTCATAACTGTACAAAAATGGTGACTAGAAATAGTTTATTCATTTCATTCACTTGAAATAAAATTAAAAATGTTTCTGGATTCAATAATGTACTTTTGCTGAAAAGGCTTAACAAAAAATGTAGTGTTTTTTTTCCTAAGTGATATACTGTCCATCTACCAGGAGTAAAAATGAGCTGTAACTTAAGTTTTATGACACCAGAGTTATATCAGTGATTGCTTTGACCTTTATTGTCTGAAACTGTACAGCAAATGTTTTGCCCTACTTTTAGCTAAGAAGGGAGGAATTGGAAGTTACAAAAATTTCAAAATTGACATTTTTGCTAAGTTATCAACTTTCAAGTGAAATTGCAGGGAAATAGCAAGGACTACTAATGTGAAGTGAAACTAAACATTTATTTTTTTGAAAAGAAATGCAGATAAATAGGAATATTCTCACACAGCATAATGTCCAGTGAGATACGAGTTTCCAAAAGTTATGCTTTTGCTTTCCATGTGTCATCAACTGAATTTATGTTGTGAATGCATACTATACTCAGTGGCCAGTATTTTAAAAACAGAATCATAGATTGGGCAAGGTAGAAATGGGTCACTGCAGGTCATCCAGTTCATCCTCCCTATTCAAGCAGGGTCCCCCACTGCATGTTAGTCTGGAATGTGATCAGACAACTTTGCATATCTTCAGAGAAGGACTGTGCAACCTCTCTGTGCAATCTGTTTGAGTGCTCAGTCACCTGCACAGTAAAGAAGTTCTTCCTCGTGTTCAGGCAGAACTTCCTGTGCATCAGAGTCGTCTCGTCGCCTCTTGTCTTATTACTTGGCATCACTGAGAAGAGCATGGGTCCATCCTCTTGATACCCTCTCTTCAGATACTTGTATACAGTGATGAGGTGACTGCTCAGTCATCTCTTCTCTAGGCTGAATAGACCCAGCTCCCTCAGAAGAGACATGCTCCAGATCCCTCATCATCTACATAGCCCTGTTCTGGACTCCTTCCAGGAGCTCCATGTCTCTAGTGTACTGAGGAGCCCTGAACTCCCGGTGAGGCCTCACCAGGGCTGAGTAGAGGGGCAGGATCAACTCCTCAGCCAGCTGGTAATGTGCTTCCTAATGCAGCCTGGGATCCTACTGGCCTTCTTGGCCACAAGGGCACACTGCTAGCTCATGGGCAGCTTGTTGTCCACCAAGATCCCCAGGTTCTTCTCCACAAAGCTGCTTTCCAGCAGGTCAACCTTTAGCTTGTACTGGTGCCTGGCATTATTCTTCAACAGGTGCAGGACCCTGCATTTGCCTTTGTTGAATTTCAGAAAGTTCTTCTCTGCCCAACTCTTCAACCTGTCTATGTCCTTCTGAAGGGCTTCGCAGTCCTCCTGGGGTATCGGCCTCTCCTCCCAGCTTTGTGTTGTCAGTGAACTTGCTGAGGAGACACTCTGTCCCTTTGTCCAAGTCATTGATGAGCAAGTATACACTGGACCCAGTATTGAACTTTGCGGGATACCACTAGTGAGTGACAGGCCTCCAACTGGATTTCATGCTGCTGATCACAACCATCTGAACTCTGACATTCATTCAGTTCTCAATCCATCTCACCGTCTACTCATCCAGCCCTCACTACCAGGTGATGTGCTGTGTGTCTACTTTGGTGTTTCCTCTAGAGACTGGCTATTTGATCGTTTCCCACTTAGCTTGTACAATAGGTCCTGGATAATGAATGGCTCTGGTGGAAGACATTGCTGTTTTTTCAGGATCTGAAACATTTGAATTATTTGTCCTGGAAACTTTTTGTAAAAGTAAATGGGTATTTTAATAGGTTTGACAGTTGTTAGAGGTCTTGAGGTTTTATTAGATTTGGGTTTAATTGCTTTTATTCTGAGTAACTGGGTCATTATGGTGTTGCCACAGGAAGGTAGTGTAACTTTGTAGGTGTGAAAAAAATTTCAACCTCCATAGTAATTATGTATTTTTATATACGATACAAGCAAATCAATCTCTAATCAGTCCTCTTTTGTTCATGGATCCTCTTGCCTCTTTTCTTTTCTCCCTGCCCAGATCCTGGATATGAACATTTTAAGACAGCAGAAAAATCCCACGGTAATTGGATCAAACTGTATTTAGAGGGAAATAATTCAGAAATACTCTTAAATCTTGGCAAAAAGGTCCTGAAGCAATACTTGGAGGCGCTGAAGACTCTGAGTTCTTCACTAAGCAAACAAGTGGCACAATATGACATGTATTCAATGATGGTTGGGACTGTGATCATTATGGAGGTATGAAAATAGATCTTTCTCTGTGAAAGCTAAGTGCACAAAAGTAAAGTATCTTGGTTTTGACTATTTAATGTATATACTTACAGGTCTTTAGAATTACCAAGTATGAATTCTTAGAGTTGGGTGACATTCTGCTTGGATAAGTTTAATAATCTTTTTAAAGCACAGTCTGGCCTTCAAAATGATTCAAGAGAGCTTTTGATATAAATTACTTATGTGTTGGTGTAGCTAGTTATGGTAAATATGGAGATGTGCTGCAACTTAAGTTACTTCCATATTAGTTAGCCTTTTATTTTTGAGTAGCTTTTCTGCATCATGAAAAAAAAGTCTGGCAAGTAAATTTCTACCTGTTCCTCTTTACTTAACATTGAGCATAGCTGCTCAAAACAGGCAATGCCTTAGATGGACAATTTTCACTCTTTGAGGAACTGTTCTTTGTACTGATAGATTTAGAGCCCTGAAATAAATACTTGCTGTAAGGTGCTGGGTTGCTCCTTCATATCTCATGTAGTAATAAAGATAAGATATGCCATGTCTGGAATTTTAAGTGGATCTCTCCAGTTGATATTTTGGGCAAAACTCAAGTGCTGGAAATAGCTTCTGTAGTGATGCTTTGAGAACCATGCTGAAGCGATACCATGATACCATGCCTGGACACTGAACTTCTGTGTACCAAAGTTTGCACTGACCTTTTAAATGACAAGATTGTCAACTTCTGTAAGTATAAGTATTGTTCCGTAGGACAGAAGTACCTATGGAAAGTACAGTAGTAAGCTTTCCTTAGTCCTTGAATGTGTGCGGTGCTATATAAGACTGTGTAGCTGCTGTAGCTCCAGTCCTGTTAAGTGCCTGGAACAGATTAACAATATGTGAGCAAGGCTCTCCTTGAGTGTGGCTGGTGGGACCAGTGTATGCCTCGTGATTACTGCCTCCCATCCTGTGGAAGATGCATGGTAAAGGCCACCGACACAGCAGGTGCACTGCTCTGTAGATCTTGTCGACCATGTTGAAAGAG